GCCTTGTAAGCTAAGTAAAGTTCTTCAAAGCTGTCAGGGAGTCCCAGCCTCCAAGAATGGCCCATCTTAGGATTTTTATTGTGTTGACTGGGAGCAATCATGGTAAGACACCTCCATGCAAATGTGGTGGTGGATTTTAGAACACAGCAGTGGGAGCCTTTAATCAATTATGCTCCCTACAGTCAGGTAATTGTGAAGCAGGAAACTGTCTTGTCAATTTAGGTTTATCTGATATTCCCTCATGATTAGATTTAATTGTGTATTTTTTTGGCAGTAATAATAGTGAAGCGACATCGTATCAGGGGATTTAAAATGTTGGTTTGTTCTATTATCAATGATATGAACATCTTGGCTAAGAGAGTATTCACCAGATATTTCCATGATATACCTACTGTATTTCCTTTTATAATTAATAATACTTTATGGAGAGAAATTTTCAGCTGTGTAGTATCCATCCTGTTTCTCAGTAACTTTAAACCAATAAGCCATACCTGCTGTCTTATGGGTTGAGGATGACAAATCATTTTTTTTCATCTACTGAGTTTTCTGTTACAAATTCCCTGATAACCTATTATGGTATCTTATGACAGCAAAAAGACAAAAACCAAACCAAACCAAAATGAAGGCACTGGTTTCTGATGTCACGTGTGCAGAAAAGTTTAATATAGAGCTGAGAGTGCTATCTATAAAGAGGCCTGGTTGCTAGCCTGGCTCTTGATTGGTATCTGGGTACTTGGATTGCGCTGGAGGATTCCTAACATTCCCTAAGAGTATCTCACATTGCCTAAACTCTTTGTGCAATGTGGTTTATGCTGAATATCTATTTTCCCTCTGAGAGTCTTTAATTTTGGTACATGCCAGGCAGAGAATGCCTAAGTGACCAGCCCCCAATAAAAAATCTAAGGCACCAAGTCTCTGATGCATCTCTCTGGTGACAGTTACACATTATCACAATTTAGTGCTCAAGGAACTTAGTACATTGTGATTCCATAAGGAGAGAACTCTTGGAAGCTAAAACCTGATTTCCTCCAGACTTCATCCTTCCTACCTTCCCTCTTTTCTCACTTTACTTTTATCCTTTCAGTGTAACAAATCGGTTGTGAGTACTCCTAGTGTCTTGTGAGTATTCATAGAGAACGAAAGAACATGGATGTAGCCTTAGGAACCCCCAACATACCACACAAATTGATACAACACAAGCCTTAGTGAATACCTACTAACATCTATGAATATGTGGTCCAGAAAATCAATTGTGGGAACCTGTCTCAACTAGATATAATTTGGTGAGTAATGCTCTTTAACTACAATGAAAAATCACCATTGTGTCTGACTATGGACTAGCATCCAAACCTGCTCTGCATCTTTATTGGTTCCACATCCAGAGGGTCAACTGTTATTATTTTATTTTCTTTCTTCATGCACATCTTTTCAAAAAGGAATCATTTTTTTTTTAATGCCTCCACAATGTATGTATACTCATTTTGCTTCTAGCTCCAGGATTTGCCCTCTCACTGTTATGGATTTATACTTCAAGCACAGCATGCATTAATTACAAAGATACAATTGTTAAAACTCATCAAGTTGTTTGTGTATGTAAAACAATCAGAGAAGTTCTCGGCTTTGAAATTGGCTTCCAGAACCCATTCCTTAATTTTGATCTTATATGCCATATGACAATATAGAACACTCATAATGGCTTAACGTCAAGCGATAATTATTTGGTACTTTCATAAATTCTATTACAGTAATTTACTACTTTGGTAATATTCCATATTCAATGAAAAACTAAAACATAACTTAAATGGAAAAGTATCAGGGGTGGAGGAGAGAGGAATTTAAAAATGGGAAAAGACGGGCGCCTGGGTGGCTCAGTCGTTAAGCGTCTGCCTTCGGCTCAGGTCAGGATCCCAGGGTCCTGGGATCGAGCCCTGCTCAGTGGGAAGCCTGCTTCTCCCTCTCCCACTCCCCCTGCTTGTGTTCCTGCTCTCGCTATCTCTCTGTCAAATAAATAAAATCTTTAAAATAAATAAATAAATAGATAAATAAAATAAAAATGGGAAAAGACCACAAAATGCTCCTTGCCAAGGAAAACCACTATGGAAGAGCATCCCTTTATACATTATCTCATACATGTACACATAGACACATGCATGCACACAGAAACACACAAAGATCTATGTTTGATTATGCTATGAAGGCTACAACCTGATTTTTCAAAGCCCATACTATGTATTTCTCTCATTACAGGTATCTGCCATAATCTTAATGGCTTCAGTATAGGAATATACCAAAACTCAAATTCCTACATATGTGCACTTGTCCCATTTATAAAAACTCAGTGACATCATCAATATGGTGCTCATCTTTTTAGTATTTTAATCTCATAATCTTAACTTCCAAATATATGATTCCCAGATCAAAGAGATGTACAATCTATACTGACCTATACTCCTTTCCCAGAACCATGCTTCAGTGCTGCCAATAGGGAAAAGCATATAAATACAAATCTCGCCTCAGAAATACATCTGATAAAATTATCAAATTCTCACAAATCTGGGGCATATTCCTTTCATGGGTGTGGGGAATAAAGTACAGACCCTATGTGAGAAGTTTTTTTTTTTTTAAGATTTTATTTATTTATTCATGAGAGAGAGAGAGAGAGGCAGAGGGAGAAGCAGACTTCCCGCAGAGTGGGGAGCCCAATGCGGGACTCGATCCCAGGAATCCGGGACCATGACCTGAGCCGAAGGCAGACGCTTAACCATCTGAGCCACCCAGGCGCCCGTGAGAAGTTTTGATAAAAGAAATACTACAGTAATTAGAAGGCAAACATTTTGAGTTGGGATGGAAATGCAATTAGAAATCACCAATTCCAGGTTGATTAAGAAAATTGTTATTGGATGGGGCGCCTGGGTGGCTCAATCTTTAAGCGTCTGCCTTCGACTCAGGTCATCATCCCAGGGTCCTGGGATCGAGCCTCGCATCGGGCTCCCTGCTCCGCGG